AGGCTTGTCCCTCAGGGGACCCAGAGAGATGATTTATCTTTTATTTATATTCCCTTGCAGTGCTTAGCCTTGCAGCCTAAGCAAGAATTCAGATCACCTGTCATAGGGGGTTCAGGGTGGCCCCTCTCTGCTTGGTCTAGGGGCAGAAGTCCCCCCTTTTAGGTTGGGTGGAGATGGGTTTTGGAAACACCCTGTATAAAGTAACAACCTCATCTTGAGTCTCATGGTCCTCCATAGCTAACTTATGATACTGTATCTGAATAGGTTTTGCTACCAAATTATTTATCTGTTGTATCACAGAGTTAGTCTGCTTCTTTGAGGCCCAGGGACCAGCAGAAATAAGCAAAAAGAACCCAAATAATGGTCCCAAGATGGGAGGAAATAGGGTTTTGTCCTATTGACTGTGTCCTTTGCCTTACAGAAGCTTTGTAATTTTATGAGGTCCTGTTTGTCAATTCTTGATATTAGATAATAAGACATTGGTGTTCTGTTCAGGAACTTTTCCCCTTGCCTATGTGTTCGAGGCTCTTCTCCACTTTCTCTTCTATTAGTTTCAGTATGTCTGGTCTTAAATGGAGGTCGTTGATCTACTTGAATTGAGGTTTGTACAAGGAGATAAGAATGGGTCAATTTGCATTCTTCTACATGCTGACCTCCAGTTGAACTAGCACCATTTTTTTAAAATGCTGTCCTTTTTCTTCCCACTGGACAGTTTTAGCTCCTTTGTCATAGATCAAGTGACCATAGGTGTGTGGGTTCATTTCTGGGGCTTCAATTCTATTCCATTGATCACCTTGTCTGTTTCTGTACCAATGCCATGCAGTTTTTATCACCATTGCTCTGTAGTACAGCTTGAGGTCAGAGATAGTGATTCCCTCAGAAGATATTTTATTGTTGAGAATAGTTTTCACAGTCCTGGGGTGTTTGTTATACCAAATGAATTTGAGAATTGCTCTTTCTAACACAGTGAATGACAAAATTCAACACCCTTTCATGGTAAAAGTCTTGGAAAGATTAGGAATTCAACACCCATACCTAAATATAGTAAAAGCAATATACAGCAAACAGGTACTGGACATCAAACTAAATAGAGAGAACCTTGAAGCAATCTCACTAAAATCAGAGACTAGACAAGGCTGCCCACTCTCTCCCTATTTATTCTATAAAGTACTGGAAGTCCTAGCCAAAACAATTAGACAACAAAAGTAGATCAAAGGGATACAAATTGGAAAGGAAGAAGTCAAAATATCACTATTTGCAGATGATATGATAGTATACGTAAGTGACCCCAAAACTTCCACCAGAGAACTCCTAAACCTGATAAACAACTTCAGCAAAGTGGCTGGTTATAAAATCAACTCAAACAAATCAGTAGCCTTCCTCTACATGAAAGATAAACAGACTGAAAAAGAAATTAGGGAAATGACACCCTTCACAATAGTTGCAAATAATATAAAATACCTTGGTGTGAATCTAACCAGGCAAGTGAAAGGTCTTTATGGCAAGAACTTCAAGTCTCTGAAGAAGGAAATTAAAGATGATCTCAGAAGATGGAAAGATCTCCCATGCTCATGGATTGGCAGGATTAATATAGCAAAAATGGCCATCTTGCCAAAAGCAATCTACAGATTCAACGCAATCACCATCAAAATCCCAACTCAGTTCCTCACAGAGTCAGAGAAATTTTCTTAATCAGATAATTGGAATTAGTAAGTCCTAGGTCACTGTGGGTGGTACCATTCACTGTACAAGAAATCGAGTTAAGCATCAAACTGTGAGTAAACTAACAAGCATCTCTCCTCTATGGTACCTGCTTCAAGTCCCTATCTGAATTCCTGCTCCAATTTTTCTCAGTAATAGAATGTGATCTGAAAGTATAAGCTGAAGTAAACAATTTCTTTCTCTAAGTTCATTTTTGGTAAGGGTGATTTATAACAGCACAGAAGTGAAATAAGAACAAATATCATTCAAAATAGTGCATTGACTCATATCAGCTGGTGTATGCTGCCTTTTTGGTGGTCCAGTGTTTGAGAGATCTCTGGGTCCAGATTAATTAAGACTGCTGGTCCTCCTACAGGGTAGCCCTCCTCCTTAAAATAGTGGGAAAAAGTACAACTTTGTTTCTTATTCTAAAACAATAAGAACTTCCTTACATTTTTAATATTTTAGCTTGGGGCTGGAGTGATTTGTTCATTGAGTAAAACTACTTGCTACTCATTCAGAACACCCAGGCATGGTACCCAGCAGTCACATTATAACTCATAGCCATAACTGTAGTACCTTACTAGGCAACAGACACACACACACACACACACACACACACACACACACACACACACATATATATATATATATATATATATATATATATATATATATACAGTAAAGCACCTATACATATAAGTGAAATAAAGCTTTTAAAAATATACCCACATTAGAATAAGTTTTTCATCATCATTTTTTCCTTTTTTATTGTTGAATCAAACATTTTAAATAATGTGTGTTTTTCTACATTAAAATGCTATGATCTGCAGGCAAAATCCTACACCACCTACAGTAGACATGCAGTTGGACATATGTACCTGGAGGCAGAATTGATCCAGGTGAAATATATTCAGTGATCATAACATATTTCTGTAACACATATTCTACAATTTGCAAGATAGTTGTGTCAACATTAATTCGATTGGTCATGAACTTTAAAAATAGCTGTAAGCATGTTGAATGCAATTATAAGTTATAGTTTCCTCTTTATATTTCAATCATTCATCAAAGTGTGTTGATAACATAATAGTGTACAACACCAAGTTTAATGCTTAAGCAGTGTTAGTTCAGCATTAAAGAAAAAAGTTTTCAGAAAATACTTTATTATTCTTACAATACCTTAAAATACATTGAAGCTACTACAAAGCTGATTAATCTATTATAACTTTCAATGGTTGTGGAAAGTTAGTGATATGTTTATAAACGAATGTATAGTGTGGTGGGAGTGGTGCGCCCCCCACTCCTTGAGGGACCAGCCTTATGAATGTCTAGTATAGAATGAAGTTTATTTGGGGGCATGGCAAGGATGTTTGAGAAGGGAGTAGAAGCAGAGAAAGAGAGGGGACAGAGAACAGAGGAGGGAGAGGGGGGAGAGAGAGAGAGAGAGAGAGAGAGAGAGAGAGAGAGAGAGAGAGAAGAGAGAGAGAGACAGAGAGAGAGAGAGAGAGAGAGAGAGAGAGAGAGAGAGA